GACACCAGTCTCTCTCGGCACTGGAAAAACCAATTCACTCGCATCCCTGCCTTTACGCATACCAAAGGCGTTATTGACTTGCCATTGATGACCATATCAGCTGGAGCACCAATTACATCAGTCGCAATTTCGAGTGATGGGACACGGATTGTGTCTGGCTCGGGTGACAAGTCTGTGCAGGTGTGGGATGCATCGACAGGTGTGGAGCTGAAGAAGCTGAAGGGTCACACTATGTTCATCAATTCGGTTGCATTTTCGAGTGATGGGACACAGATTGTGTCCGGCTCGTGGGACAAGTCTGTGCGGGTGTGGGATGCATCGATAGGTGTGGAGCTGAAGGCGCTGAAGGGCCATACTTCGTCAGTCAATTCCGTCGTGTTTTCAAGCGATGGGACACGAATTGTGTTTGGTTCGTATGACAACTCTGTGCGGGTGTGGGATGTATCGATAGGTGTGGAGCTGAAGGCGCTGAAGGGCCATACTGACACTGTCAATTCGGTCGCATTTTCAAGGGATGGGACACAGATTGCATCTGGCTCAAATGACCGCTCTGTGCGGGTGTGGAATGCATTGACAGGTGTGCAGCTCATGGAGCTACAGGGCCACACTGGCATTATCCAATCAGTCGCATTTTCGAGTGATGGGGCACGCATTGTGTCTGGCTCGCTTGACAAGTCTGTGCGGGTGTGGGATGCGTCGACAGGTGTGGAGCTGAAGGAGTTGAATGGCCATACTGAACATGGTCACTTCGGTCGCATTTTCAAGTGATGGGACACAGATTGTGTCTGGCTCGTGGGACAAGTCTGTGCGGGTGTGGGATGCATCGACAGGTGTGGAGCTGAAGGCGCTGAAGGGCCACACTGAACATATCTTCAGTCGCATTTTCGAGGGATGGGACACAGATTGTGTCTGGCTCCGTGACAAGTCTGTGCGGGTGTGGGATGCGTCGACAGGTGTGGAGCTGAAGAAGTTGAATGGCCACACTGAATGCAGTCAATTCAGTCGCATTTTCGAGCGATGGGACATGGATTGTGTCTGGCTCCTCTGACAAGTCTGTGCAGGTGTGGGATGCGTCGACAGGTGTGGAGCTGAAGAAGTTGAATGGCCACACTGATTTGGTCAATTCGGTCGCATTTTCGAGCGATGGGACACGGGTTGTGTCTGGCTCGCGTGACCACTCTGTGCGGTTGTGGGATGTGTCAACGGGTGTGGAGCTGAAGGAGCTGAAGGGCCACACTCGCCTGGTCACTTCGGTCGCATTTTCGAGCGATGGGACACGGATTGTGTCTGGCTCGTTCGACAACTCTGTGCGGGTGTGGGATGTGTCGACAGGTGTGAAGCTGAAGGAGATGAAGGGCCACACTCGGTGGTCAATTCGGTCGCATTTTCAAGCGATGGGACACGGATTGTGTCTGGCTCGTCGGACAACTCTGTGTGGGTGTGGGATGTGTCGACAGGTGTGAAGCTGAGGGAGATGAAGGGCCATACTCGGTGGGTCAATTCGGTCGCATTTTCAAGCGATGGGACACGGATTGTGTCTGGCTCGTTCGGACAACTCTGTGTGGGTGTGGGATGTGTCGACAGGTGTGGAGCTGAAGGAGCTGAAGGGCCACACTATGTCAATCAATTCGGTTGCGTTTTCAGGTGATGGGACACAGATTGTGTCTGGCTCGGAAGACAAGTCTGTGCGGGTGTGGGATGCATCGACCGGTGAGGAGCTGAGGGAGCTGACAGGCCACATTGGGGAGGTCACTTCGGTTGCGTTTTCGAGTGATGGGACACGGATTGTGTCCGGCTCGCGTGACGAGTCTGTACGGGTATGGAATGTGTCGACAGGTATTTTGAGTGATGGAGATGCGCGCTTTGCTTGGGATCTAGCCAACTCAAACTGGATTATCTCTTCTCGGGAGAAAAACCCCCTTATGTGGGTGCCAAAGGAAGCTGATTTGCGCACACCTCTCAAGATTATTATCATTTCTCGGTCTGGCTTTGCTACAGTTGACTTTGATCAGTCTATGATTGGTGTTGATTGGGTTTGCTGTTATACACCATAGCTACAGTCACGTTGTCGATTATACATATCATTCTTCCGCACAATGCATCTTTTCCCCCTCCCACAACGGGCTCCCTTTCCCCTTCTTCCCCTCCTTCACGCATCTGGGTCCCTGTCTTCTTCATCCTCCTTCTCCTAACGCCAATCCACTTCCTCCTCCCACTCCTCCTCATCGATACCAAACTACACCAATGCAGATCTAAAAGTGAAGAATTACCTCAACTCAAGCAAACCCGTCATTCCCAACCCATTAGACTTCTGTCCAAGTTACAGCACCGGGGATGGATCAGCGCAAAGTATGGCGTCGTTATGCTTTTGAGGAGTAGGATGCACCTTGGGAGCGGCGCAAGGATTCAGAGGGTGTTGAATAAGGTGTAGGTGGGTCAGAGTGTTGCTATCGATATCTCTGTTCTTGGCGGTTCAGGTATCTGTCCCTTGTTTCCTCTTTCCACATCTGCAAACTCACGTACAACTACGCAGTGTCAGCATGCCATGGTGCAGGGGACGACCCTTATTATTGAACTGGATACGGAGGATGAACCGTGCGTTTTCTTTCATCTCTCTGCTCCTTTCTTTCGTTTCTCTGCCGTTTCTTTCATACCACCCGTTTTTTTTCTTTTCTTTTTGCTTCTGTTCGTTGCGACTGCCTGGCGCCTACCCTAATTATCACACCTTTCATGCCATCTTTTCATCACACCCAGGACGGACTTTTCCCACATGCCAAGAGGCCATCCTATATTGCTCGTTGCCTCTGCCGCAGCTTCATTATCGATTTACCTGGACGAGTTTCGCTTTCAGTCCCCTCAGACCCTATCCATGTTCCACTTCCCAGAAACAGCCCACGTCTTGAATGTTGAGCTTGCGCTTGACGATCGGCGTCGTCGTGTTGATTTTTCAATTTTCAATTTCATTTCCCCCAGCTTCCGTGTTGTTGTGGGTCGGGCGAGTTTGTGGATCCTGCCTGTCCTTCTTAGCTGCTGTGTGACCTTGCCTACCTTTTTATTCCCCATACTTCGACTCGTTTCTGGACAGACGTGGACCCCCTTCCCTTCTCTTCTTGTCGCGTCTCCATGCGGTTTCTCCTTCGGTTTGGTTGTCCTCTCGATAACTTCTACGTATCCCTTCGCCCGGCCAGTGGCCTTTGGCGGGCATCCTGTGCACGTTTGTTTCTTTTCTTTTCAAATTGTGGTTGAAAGTTCTGGAGGGAGCTTCTTTCTTCTATTTATCGCGACCGAGGGCTTTGCCTTGAATTCCTATGTGTTTGGTCTTTAGTATTGGGTTGAATGCCTTGTGTTCGACATCGTATATCCCGCCCGTGGAGGCGCACCAGAGGATATACTCAAGGGACATGAAGCCGTGGAGAAGAGGCTTCGGGAGGCGTAAAAGCTCAGGAGGTGAAGAAGAAAATGTTGGAAGCGCATGCGGTTGAATCTCACGAGGAAATGTTGGCTTCTGCCACGAACAACTCTGTCTTCCCTTGGTCTACCCTTCCGAACAACGACTCAGACGATCCTCCAGACATGTTCATCCACAAACGGATTCTTGTCACGCTAAGGCCATTACATGAAGGGACTTCAGTTATAAGGACATACGACGTTTTTAGGCACTAGCATTTTTTCGAACGGAAGGGTTTGGGTAGATACATTTTGCGAATTTTACTGGTTCCGTTGAGTCTTGAGCTGTGCCCATTTATGAGTCATCTGTAAAAGGAAATCT